GTGGCTGACCCAAAGTCACCCCAGCAGCTGCATGTGGAGGAGTGGGGAAATCAAATCCGGTTCTCCCAAATTAGAGTCCGCGCTCCTAACCACTACACCAAACTGGCAAAGTAAATACATCTATGGTGACCTTCCCGGCATACCGTAGATTGGCCCTTGTTGGAAACAGGGTGTTCACTGTGGGTAGAAATTTTTTTTTTGAGAGCCAGTGTGGCGTAGTGGTTAGGGCGTCGGTCTGGGATCCGGGAGACACAGGTTCAAATCCCCACCCGTGCCGCGGAAGCTTGCTGGGGGACCTTGGGCCGGTTACGTCCTCTCAGCCTAACCTACCTCACAGGGTTGTTACGAGGGCAAAAATGGAGAGGAGAACAAGGTAAACCCCTTTGGGTCCCCCATCGGGGAGAAAGAGGGGGTAAAAACGCAGTAAATAAACCGATTGGTCTGATCCGCTTGGGCTGCTCGTGCCTCACTGAAGCATGAGCCTGTCCGGGAAAGAAGTAACCCCCTCCTCCCCCTAGTTTGCTTGCTTTTTTAAAAAGCTGTTTTCTCAAAAACAAAAGCCAGATGCATCCACAGCAGATGCCAGGCAGGTGTCTGTTCTGAGAACGGAGTCCTCTCTGTTTTCGTCCAACAGTGAAGAGAGCTTCTCAGGGGACGTGTCTTTCAAAGCCCCCCTCACTCCGGCTGCATCCTGCATCCTGCCCGTTGCCTCAGGTCCTCCTGCGTTAATGTAATTTGGGGGCTATAAATACACCTCTAACCAGCCACCCTGGGTCCCGAGAGGAGGATACTGGGGACTACTCTTTAAAGGCCGCATCCTCCAAGAGAGGGGGGTAGTTTATCACACTGCCCTCGGCAGCGGGACAAAGGGATGAAAGACGTGTTTCTTTCTATTTCTTTGTTATCCCCAAAGTACACTTATAGGTATGGGTCAGTGTCCCGGTTTTGGGGAAAGCGGTGACTTGTACACTGAAGCCGTTGAGGAGGAGGAGGAGGAGACTGGATTTATACCCCACCCTTCACTCAGAGCGGCTTACAAACTCTTTACCCTTCCCCTCCCCACAACAGACCTACCCTGTGAGGTAGGTGGGGCTGGGAGAGCTCTGAGAGAACTGTCCTCGAGACAACAGCTCTGACAGAACTGTGGCTTGCCCAAGGTCATCCAGCAGCTGCAAGTGGAGGAGTGGGGAATCAAACCCGGTTCTCCCAGATTAGAGTCCGCGCACTTAACCACGACACCAAACTGGCTCCTACTGGTATCCTAACTGATTCCAGTTGGAGCCTGTCCCATGGTATCTCTGGTCTTTTGAAACAATTTTTATTTTATATAAGACCAAAAAAACACAAGCATACATACAGAGAAGAGGGAGTTCCATTTGCAACCTTATTTTGTCTGTTAAGTTACCTCATACATAAACAAGTTATATATTTTTTTCCACCTTGTGTTTTAAACTAAACCATTATTCATAACTAAAAAGAAAGCTGTAGCCCATATTTCCTTGTACTTCGGTTGTACGTCCATGTGTTCTATTTATTATACTCCTCCATCCATTTGAAAAACCCCGACCATGTATTCTCAAAGTCTCTTTCGTTTCGTCCTCTCAGAATTAAAGTTAGCTTGTCCATCTCTGCAGTTCCAAGTATTTTATTAATGAGGTCTTCTTCGGAAGGTGCTTCATTTTCCCTCCAGTATTTGGCATATAATATTTTTGCAGCTCTCACGTGTATAATAAGATAGGAATCTCGCTTTTTACTCAACGGCCCTTTATTAGGGTTGCCAGCTCTGGGTTGGGAAATTCCGGGAGATCTGGGGGTCGAGTCTGGAGAGGGTGGGGTTTGGGAGGAGAGAGACCTCAGCAGGGTATAATGCCTCAGAGTCATCGTTCCCCCCCACCACCCCAAGCATCCATTTTCCCCAGGTGAACCGATCTCCGTCGTCTGGAGATTCGCTGTAATTCTCAGAGATCTCCAGGCCCCACTTGGAGGTTAGATAAACACAGAAAACACCGCGTTGAAATAATAAACACAATATTCACATGCACTTATAGCTAAATATATTTGCTTTTTATACACAACAACCACTCTAGTGTATTGTAACACTTTCAAACGACAACATCACATTTCAAACACTTTCAAACTAAGTTATATAACATGAAGAGTCCAACTGTCTTCTTCCTGATGGAGGATAGATACCAATGTACAGTTCTTTGTACTGAACAATGCAGCAACCTATTGTACATTTCCCAAGTGATTTCCCAATGCTAGCAGGCAGCTTGTATTTCTCACTGTGATGATTCAGCTTAGCAAGCAAGCCTAGTAGATGTATTTTCCCATGAGGTGATTCAGCTAGCAAGCAGGCCAAGCAACACGCCTCCCGGGCATAACCTGCGTGTTTCGAACAAATCTTCTTCAGGCATGAATTTTCCTGGAACCACAGCTCTGAAGAAGATTTGTTCGAAACACGCAGGTTGGGTTTGAAAGTGTTTGAAATGTGATGTTGTCGTTTGAAAGTGTTTACAATACACTAGAGTTGATGTTGTGTGTAAAAAGCAAATATATTTAGCTATACATACATGTGAATATTGTGTTTATTATTTCAACGCGGTGTTTTCTGTGTTTATCTAACTTAGCCGTGCTCCCTGCGTGCTTGTTGTTATTCCCACTTGGAGGTTGGCTGGCAACCCTCCTCATTTAAGTTTACGGCAAACTGATTCATTACGTCTCTCGTGGGCTTTTATGCCGTCCTTCCGCCCCGATATTCAGGGCAGCATACATGATTTCCCCCTTGCCCATTTTTATCTTTGCAACAACCCTGCGAGGTAGGCGAGAGCAACTGACTAGACAACACTGACCTTGAGGGACCCAGTGGTCTGAGTCAGTATAACGCAGCTTCATGCAGAAGAAGAAAAAGAGAAGAGATCGGATTGGGCGGATTTATGCGCCGCCCTTCACTTGGAGTCTCCGAGCGGCTTACAATCTCCTTTCCCTTCCCCTCCTGACAACCTGCGAGGCAGGTGGAGCCGAGAGAGCGGCTCGTGAGAGAACTTGTGACTGACCCAGGGTCACGCCAGCAGCTGCGAGTGGAGGAGTGGGGAATCAAACCCGGTTCTCCCAGATGAGAGTCCGCGCACTTAACCACTACACCGAACTGGTATAGCCATTGAAAGGTCACCCAGTGAGGTTCATCCAAGGTCTCCCACACCGAAGACTGGCACTAACCCTCTGCCCTACACTGTCTGGCCATCTGAACAGTGCCCAATGAAATGCAGAGTTCCCCTAGGCAGAAGTCATGTGCCCATGGCCTGAGGGGGGGGAGTCTGTCCCTGCAAGTTTCACGCAGGGAAAAATCAGAGAGGGGAAAGTCAGTGGCCGGCAAGGATTTCCCCCCCCCCTCCCTTTGCCCTGCCTAGTTGGTTCCTTGTTTCAGTTTACTTATGCGCTTATGTTCTATTTTGAGTCTTTGGCCACGCGGTGCTAAGCAGCCCGTGACCCTGTCAAAGGTAAGAGTTGCAAAACAAGAGCTGCTGGGCAGATAACGCCGGCGGCTTCGCTGGCAGTGGGGGGAGGGGGCTGGACAGAGAAGCTAAAATCTGGCTGTTGGCGGTATTTTGTCACACCAGGGAGCCCATTTCTCAAGAAGGAGGTAAGCCTGCACATTATATCTTAAGCTATTGTCACTCGGAATGGGATCCGCAAGCCGTTTTTCTCTGGCAAAGAGAAGCAGGGGCTTGAACGAAGCTTGTGTTGGTGGTTTTCTTACTCTAGTGCTCTAGCTTTAGTATAGCAGAACGTTTCCCCTTGGAACCCAAGATGCCCTTTTTTGCAATTAGTTGCAAAGTTAGTTTGCTTGCTTACTTTCAGTGCACTGAAAGTATAGGAGGTGCTGGGTTCGAGTCCGGTAGCACCCGAGAGACCAACAAGATTGTCGGGAGTACAAACTTTCAACAGTCAAAGCTCCCTTCATCTGATACAAATCGGAATGGAGATCTCTGAGTCCTTGTATCCCAGTCAGAAGGTGGGAGAGGGGTGTTGCAAAGAAGGAACGCAGGATGCAGAGGTATGATGAACATAGTAATCAGCTTAATTAAAGCAGAGGGGAAATGCTGAGGGGCAGAAAATTAGCCTCTGTCTCTGAGATAAGAATCCTGTGTGTCCCTGTTCAGCCCGGTGGGGTGGGGGGTTCCATTGTTCCGAACTTGTGAATGAATACGAATTCAGCCGTCCAACATTGTAATCTCCCCTTGAAGCTTCTCGGTTTGAGGACTCAAATTGTAAGGCAGTTGATTTTGATTAACTATGTAAACACCTTTTGAACTCACATAAGTAGCTTGTTTAGAGTGTTGCTGTTTGTAGAGAGAAAGCATGTTGAAAACTTCCAAGCAGTGCTCAAAAGAAGAGGGGGCACATTTTGGAGCGCCAAGCAGACCTCGGCAATACATTTGTCCAATTTTATAATCTTAATAATCGGTTCGCTAAACTATCCCACAATCAAAGATTTCTCTGTGTCATCAGGAACAAACATCTCTGCGGCCCCACATGTTTACTAGCTGGAGAGCTTAGAAGGAAAACAGTTGTTTTCTGGGTTGCTGCCCAATAACACCGTGTGGCATTGGCCACGGGAGACTAGAGGCACACCTCCGTGCACCCCTCGCATTGCCCGATCTCAGCCACCCAAGCCAACATATGGTGCTGGCAGCGATCCCACCAAGTTTCCGACTTGGCGTGTTTTGAGTCCACGGATGTGTGTCTCAGCTCAGCAGTTTTCTGGGCTGGAAAGGAGAGGAAATTGTTGGTGACGAATGCCCTGCACGGCCAGCCCTTCTGCAGGAAGGATATGCAAACCTGATGTTTTGCCTCTGGCTTATTCGTGCTGTGTCGCGAGCGTCGGTGTTCTCATTCGCTGCTGGCGCTGGAGGGGGTGCACACACGCAGGCGTGTGCTCGCGTATCCCGGTTCTCTCGTCGTGCACAGCCGGGCGACCGGCAACATCTGTGGGCGCCTCCTTTCAAAAGGAGAAGCAGAGACCAGGGGAGGAGAAATGTCTCTTAGAAAGCAGGTGAAGCATCTCCGTACCGAGCGAAGGTGACGGTGGAATATTTCAAGCCTCTCTCAGTTGGAGGCGGAAACTGCCTGCAGTTCACATTGCGAGGCTTGTCGAAGTCGGTTCTACGGATCTCGAGCCCTGTTGGTTATTCCGAAATAGAAATGTGACTTTGCTTTTTAACCAGGCGTTGTGTTTTGGGGGATTCCGAACTGAAAAGGTGAGTATGGCGCTTCTGCCGCTGTCCGTATTATGTGTTCGCTCACATTCGGTGTGTTTTGTTCCGCCTGGTGGCTGGTTGCTGTGGAAATATGCATCTGCGAATTCCCTACCGACGTGAGAGTTTTCCCAAAGTGAATACGTCGTACCAAAAAGAGCTTGATTTTTAGACGGCTTTTCACAGCTCTAGGAAGCTCACTTTTTTTTTAAGCTTTTATCGTTGCTCTTCCTCCTCGGAGTTCGGGGGTGGGATATATCAGCTGGATTTGCATGCAGTAGCACCTTAGTAAAGGTTTCCCTGGCTCGAAAGCCAGTCGAATCTGACTCTAGGGTTGTGGTGCTCATCTTCGTTTCCAAGCCGAAGAGCCAGAGCTGTCTGAAGACGTTTCCGTGGTCATGTGGCCAGCGCCAAGGTGCACGGAACGCTGTAACCTTCCCACCGAAGCGGTCCCTATTTATCTACTTGCAATTTCTTGCTTTTGAACTGCTAGGTTGGCAGGAGCTGGAACCAGAGATGGGCGCTCACTCCGTCATGAGGCACTTGGGTCTAGATTTGGGGGGGGGTATGAGCTGGGATGCCAGCCTCCAGGTGGGACCCGGGGAACCCCTGGAATTGCAGTTCATCTCCAGACTACAGAGATCAGTTCCCCCAGAGAAAATGGATCCTTTGGAGGCAACGCTCCCTCTAAGCCGTGGCATCTTGTGAGCAAAACGTCTGCTTTGCGAGCTGCTGGCATTAAAGTTGTGAGCGAGCAGTTTGGCTGCTGCATAAATCAGTTTGCTCTGGAGCCATCCTCCCTGAGCTAAGACAAAAAATGTGTGAGCCGGAGGCTTAAAAAACGGTGAGCTCGCTCACACGAACTCAGCTTAGAGGGAACACTGCTTGGGGGGTGGGCTCTAGGGCATTTTACCCTACTGAGGCCCATGTCCTCCCCAAGCTCCCCCCTCCCCAAGATCTCCAAGAGTTTCCCAACCTGGACCTGGCAACCCACCTACCGCCCTGCAGGTGGCCAGGGGAGGACCCGGCAACACTCCGTGTGAGCTTTTGAGAGTCAAAAACACCCTTTGTCAGACACCTGATGAACTTTGACTCTCAAAGGCTTATATCCTGGAGAAAGCGTGTTGGTCTCTTGGGTGCTACTGCCCTGACCTGGATAGGCCAAGCCAGCCTGATCTTCTCAGAACCCGGAAGCTCTGCAGGGTCAGCCCTCGTTAGTACTTGGATGGGAGACCACCAAGGAAGTCCAGAGTCACGACACAGAAGCAGGCAATGGCAAAGCCACCCCTGAACGCCTCTTGCCTCGAAAACACCAGGGGGGGGTCGCCATTTGTCCGCTACGACGTGACAGCACAAAAAAGAAAGGCGCTACTGGGCCCGACTGTAGCTGTTCTACTCCGGGCAAACGTGCCTACCCTCCAAAATTATCTGCTAGCTCACACTAACTCAACTTAGAGGGAACACTGGTCACGACACAGAAGCAGGCAATGGCAAAGCCACCCCTGAACGTCTCTTAGCTCGAAAACACCAGGGGGGTCGCCATTCGTCCGCTACAACGTGACAGCACAAAAAAAGAAAGGTGCTACTGGACCCGACTGTAGCTGTTCTACTCCGAGCAAACGTGCCTACCCTCCAAAATTATCTTCAGGCGGCATGTGTGGTCCCTAACCCAGTTTGGTGTAGTGGTTCAGAGCGGCAGACTCTGATCTGGAGCACTGGGTTTGATTCCCCACTCCTCCACTTGCAGCCAGCTGGGTGACCTTGGGTCAGTCACAGCTCTCTCAGAGCTGTTCTCTCAGAGCTTTCTCAGCCCCACCTACCTCACGGAGTGTTTGTTGTGAGGTGAGGAAGGGAAGGTCATTGTAAGCCACTCTGAGTGAAGGGCGGGGTGTAAATCCAATCTCTTCTTCTTCGTCTACTTCTTCAGTAGAGCCAGTTTGGTGTAATGAAGTGCGTGGACTCTAATCTGGGAGAACCGGGTTTGATTCCCCACTCCTCCACTTGCAGCCAGCTGGGTGACCTTGGGTCAGTCACAGCTCTCTCAGAGCTGTTCTCTCAGAGCTTTCTCAGCCCCACCTACCTCACGGAGTGTTTGTTGTGAGGTGAGGAAGGGAAGGTCATTGTAAGCCACTCTGAGTGAAGGGCGGGGTGTAAATCCAATCTCTTCTTCTTCGTCTACTTCTTCAGTAGAGCCAGTTTGGTGTAATGAAGTGTGCGGACTCTAATCTGGGAGAACCGGGTTTGATTCCCCACTCCTCCACTTGCACCTGGCTGGATGACCTTGGGCAAGCCGTAGTTCTGATAAGAGCTGTTCTTGAAAAAGAGCCGTTTCTGTCAGAGCTCTCTCAGCCCCACCTACCTCACGGAGTGTTTGTTGTGAGGTGAGGAAGGGAAGGTCATTGTAAGCCACTCTGAGTGAAGGGCGGGGTGTAAATCCAATCTCTTCTTCTTCTCTTCTTCTTCTTCCTTTTAATTTCTCTCACTTATCCGTGGTTGCGTGTGAATGTATTTGTTCATTCCTAATTTGGCTGGTCCGTCTGGCCGGCATGCAGCAATCCATGTGCTCCGTGCCGAATCCTGTGGGCTTGCCTGACAAGTTTAGTCAGATTGCACTATTTTGGAGGGAGGGATAGGAATTCGGACAAGAATTTGGCCTGAGCTAACAAGCAGCAGGAGGGCCCGGCTTGGGGTCATTAGGAAGCCATGTGGGGGGGAGAGAGAGCAGGAAACTCCACGGTCACACCTATTTTGGGCAGCCGGAGGCTTCTGCTGTCAACCGGCCTCCTGTAATCTCTGGGCGTCCCTTAACTGTTGCCAGCCACATTTATTCTCGTCCAGAGGAAGAGCAACTTTTAGCATACTGGAGGAAGGGAGGAGACAGAGATCGATGAGACCGTTGTCAGGAAGCCTCGTTTTGCAAAGGGCCAAAACCGGGCCTCTCGGCTAGTTTCGTCTCCCAAGAAAACAGCACACATCAGCGCTGCCCTTGGAAACGGTTTCATCTGGTTCTCGTTGCCGGCTCCCTTCCCAGGGAAAGCAGGGTGCCTTGTATTAGAGTCAGGACTCTAGGTCAAAGGACCGCCATCCCAGTTTTATTAAAATAAGTGAAACCATATCCATATGGAGTTTTAACAGGGCTGCTGAGAGCAAAACCGTAGCCAGAAACATGCGCTCCGAGGCAGGCAGCCAATGGCCTCCCTTCGCAGTTCTGCAGACTGGTCACAGAAAGTTCCTTGGGATGACTGCCACGCATGCCCCCGGTCACCTGGATCCGCTCTGAGTTGTTATTAAGAGGAGAGGGCTGGATTCAGCTGGCAGTGGGCTGTTGCTTATAGAAACAGGAGACAAAGTAATGGTGGCACTGACCCTCAGGATTCATAAGCAAAGGTCGTCCATCTCTTCCCATCTATAAAATGCAAACTGCAGGCTTGTGCCGCCTCGATTTGCCTTGGGAGCCGTGCAGGAAATGGAGAGCGTGTTTTTAACCCTTCTCCCTCCTCTTGGCTTTGCTGTTTGAAGCCTAAACTCCGCTTTTTTTTCCATTCGCATTTCAAAGGAGGAGATAAGAAAGTTACTAATAAAGCAGGGAGCCCGTTTTTTTAGTCGCACCGTTGCTGGGAGGTTCTTTGAGTGGCCCGAGGCAAATTGAGGCTGCCCGAGGCTGCGTTTTGCAGACACACCAGAAGGTGGGTTTTGCCTCACCTTTTCGAGCCCTGAGAGAGTGAGACTGAAGGATTGGCGGGGGGTGGGTGGGACAGAATCTATTAATTATAAGAACGTAAGAAGAGCCCTGCTGGATCAGACCCGTGGTCCATCTAGTCCAGTATCCTGTCTCACGCAGTGGCCAACCAGTTCCTCCGCAGGTCCAAAAACTGGTTGTAGAAGTCAAGAATTCTTCATTCCGGTTCTCAGGCTAAGTGTTGTGAAGTTATGACAGTAGTCTCAGGTGGGTAGCCGTGTTGGTCTCAAGTAGAAGAACAAGATTAAGAACATAAGAACATAAGAGATGCCAATGTTGGATCAGGCCAAAGGCCCATCCAGTCCAACACTCTGTGTCACACAGTGGCCAGAAATACCAGGTGCCATCAGGAGGTCCACCAGTGGGGCCAGGACATTAGAAGCCCTCCCACTGTTAACCCCCCCCCCAAGCACCAAGAAGACAGAGCATCACTTGCCCCAGAGCCCCTATCTATACCTTGTGGCTAATAGCCACTGATGGACCTCTGCTCCATATGCTTATCTAATTCCCTTTTGAAGCCGTCCATGCTTGTAGCCGCCACCACTTCCTGTGGCAGTGAATTCCATGTGTTAATCACTCTATTCAAGTCTAGTGTTGATTCAAGTCTAGTAGCACCTTAAAGGTCAAGAAGATTTGGGGAGTGTGATCTTTCAAGCATTGACGATTCCTTTGTCAGATGACATTGAGAGTCCTTGGGTTCCTTCTGTTCTTTAGTCTCATTTCAGTCATTGCTGTTCACATGTTGCACTACTGGCTAGCCAGAGGCTGATGATGGTGAAGACAAGAACTCGTGGGCACTCAGTGAAGTGGTCTTCGCAGCTGCCAGAGGCTGATGATGGTGAATATAAGAACTCGTGGGCACTCAGTGAAATTGCTGAGCAGTTGGGTTAGAACGGATAAAAGGAAGCACTTCTTCACCCAAAGAGGGATTAACACATGGAATTCACTGCCACAGGAGGTGGCGGCGGCTACAAGCATGGACGGCTTCAAGAAGGGATTGGATAAGCATATGGAGCAGAGGTCCATCAGTGGCTATTAGCCACAAGGTATAGATGGGAACTCTCAGTCTGGGGCAACAGTGGGAGGGCTTCTAGTGTCCTGGCCCCACTACTGGACCTCCTGATGGCACCTGGTATTTTTGGCCACTGTGTGACACGGAGTGTTGGACTGGATGGGCCATTGGCCTGATCCAACGTTGGCTTCTCTTGTGTTCTTAACATGTGGGCCGTACAGTGATCTGGAAATCTGTAACCTGTGCTGGTGT